TCGGGACGCCACGTGGCCCCGTGTCGATTTCCCTTTAAATCTCTCTAGTCCCTGGCCCATGGAGCCCACGCAAGACTACCCACTGTTCGGGGGCGCCTTCTCCGCCACGCTCCCTCCCGGGGCCATTGACGTGAGGTGAGAAACGCCCCCGCGCGGATGGAAGCCGACCGGGTGGGGCTGCGGAGAGGAGCCGGGGTCAACCCGTGCCTGCCTCGCCTCCCTCCAGCGACCTCCGACCGGTCCCGGACAACCAGGAAGTTTTCTGCCACCGCGTGACGGACCAGAGCCTGATCGTGGAGCTTCTGGAGCTGCAGGCCCACGTGCGGGGAGAGGAGGCCGCGGGGCCTGCGCGGGACGGTTCCCCTGGGCGATGAGAACTCCAAGGGCAGCCACGTGTCACGCAGAGTGCGCGAAGCCTAGACTTCAAGATGCTTGTGGGGCGACGGTGGGAGGTTCCCCTTCCTGACCCTGCCCCTCCCCGCTCCAGGTACCACTTTGAGGACGTTGGTGGGGTGCAGGGCGCTAGGACTGTTCAAGTGGAGGCTGTGCAGCCCCTCCTCCTGGAGAACCTGGCCCTGAGGGGCTGCTGTGAAGAAGCCTGGGTCCTCTCGGGCAAGCAGCAGGTGGCTAAAGAGAACCAGCAGGTAAGGGCGAGTGAGATGGCCTGGAGGGGCGAAGAGGGGGGCCCGAGAACATCCTGACACCGATCCCTTTAGGTAGCGAAGGACGTGACCCTGCATCAGGCCTTGCTGAGGCTGACTCCGTACCAGACTGATCTCCTGCTCACCTTCAATCAGCCCCCGTAAGGAGGACAGAGAGGGCACATGGCTCAAGGGTGGGGTCCCCAGGAGCATGGGCTGGTGGGGTCCTCCAAGGAAGTGGGAGTGGGCCAGAGGTTTGGGGTCACAGATACCCAGGTCGTCCCAGGAACAGGAAAGGGTAACTTCCACACATGAGGCCTGGATGATGTTCTCTCCCCGTCTGTTCCCCCGCTCCCAAGCCCTGACAATAGGTCATCTCTTGACCCTGAAAATCTGTCACTTCCACCCTGGAACCTGGGTGACTTCGAACAGCTGGTGACCAGTCTGACTCTTCATGATCCCAACATCTTTGGTCCCCAGTAAAGATGCTGAAATGCTACATGATGCCGCTGAAGACTTGGGGACCCGATTCTGCAAGGGGAACAAAGGGTTGGATATATTCCCCAAATTCCTTCCCTGTGGATAAACATAAGACACCTCTCTGCAGAAATAAACTTGCTTTATAACCAATATAATCTCTGTGCCTTTGAATCTAACAGGACACCTGGGTCCCCCCAATTCCCTTTGGTCTTGGAGGGGGATTTTAAAGTTGTACGTGTGATCAGAAGGGACCCAAGGCTGGCAGTGAAGAAAGGGGGGGACACAAACTTTGGAGTGAAGTGTACAGGGGGACAGGTAGAGAAAGTTTAAAGTGACAGCCACGAAGGGAGGGAAACTATCTCTTGTAGTGATTCAACCCTGAGAAAAAGATAGGGAGTGGGATTGGCTGTCCCCCTCTGATGGATAAGAGGTCGCCTGGTAAGAAGTCACCAGGACATAGTAATGGAGGCAGAAGTGTCCAGGGAGTGCCAACTTGGTGGAGTGAGGGGGAGTGGCTGTTATTTGGTGTACGTGTAGTAGAGGAAGCGAAGCTGGTCCCAGAAGAAGAGGGAGAGGATGGTGTGAGGGCCGAGGCGGAAGTAGGAGGCTCCAATACCCTTGTACATGCCAAAAATGCCCTCTGTCCGAGCCGTCTGCAGCAGAGCGTCCAGCACGCCTCGGTACATGAGGCCCTGAGAGCAGGTTGGAGAAGGAGGGAGAGAACAGGGAAGGAGTCTGTCAGAGCCCAGCAGGGGTCTCACCTCTGCAGGCTGCCTTTTAGGCTGTCCCACTTGGATC